ATATATAGGGAAAACATTTTGTTGTTTTTGTTTTTTAAATGTATTTTTTTCTTATGATTTTTATTTATTACACGATTAGCGAGAATTTGTTTTGTTTTATATATAAATTGTATAAATAAAAACTTATTTTACCCCGACTAAATATGACATTATTATTTTGCTCACAAGTTGTTTATGTTATACAAAGCATTAAGTATTAGGTTTTTATTTCATTCTGTGATTTGATTTGTTTTGTAAAGTATTTTGTAATTCAGACAAAACCATTTACTGATTAATACAGAGTCTATCAACTCATTGCATATAAATAACACAAACAGTTATATAAAATGTTACGTAAGACTAGGCCTACTAAACCGAAAAAGTGATTGCAATTAAACTCATCAAAAACATTGTTGTTTTGCACATAAAAAAGCGATCGATTGTACAATTAATTGATTACATATGAATCGCTTATATAATAAATATCGTGTTATACCATAAAAACATTGATAAATATAACATAAATCTATTGTTCTGTTTGTCTCTCACTCTAAACATACTTTTTCTATAATACTATATAACTTATAAAATGTCATAATTATTAAAGATTTTATTATCTCTATTTGCTGTCATTTGAAAATATATACCAGGATTTCCAATGAATACACACAAACTTTTAACTGTTTTCTAGAGCATTTGTTTTTTCATAGACAACTTATTTTTGAAAATATTTAATTAAAAATACTGCTTGATTTTGTAATATAATATATAAAATCATAAGCTCTGTTGCAAAATAACTCTTTATATATAAGTTACATATATATATATAAATTAAATAATAAATAAATATACAGTTNTATTTTTGAAAATATTTAATTAAAAATACTGCTTGATTTTGTAATATAATATATAAAATCATAAGCTCTGTTGCAAAATAACTCTTTATATATAAGTTACATATATATATATAAATTAAATAATAAATAAATATACAGTTATTTATATTAATAATCGATTTGAATATGCATTTCATTCGCGCAATAACTGCCAATTCATCGGCAAATATCTCAGACATGATTTCCTTATAAACTCATTGCTTATAAATACCTGTATTTCTCTCTCTTCTATAATAGCAATCACTTCCCACTTTCTCTCAATGAGTTACATAACTGTTAAGTAAATTCATTTCGCTTTTAATTAATTGCTCGACATTTTCCTTATTGTAAACGATTTGGGATTCCGGTTTCGGGTAACCATTGAGTAAAAGCGCCGATCGAGTCGACAAAAAGTGCTGTATTTTCTCATTTAAATGTATTAATGCCTGACAATCAGCGCTATAAATATCGGATATACTGTCGCTTTGTAGCCAAAACTCCAGTTCACCTAAATATCAATGAATACAGAAATTATATGAATAATTAATTATAAAACAAATAATTTCTTTTGTTTGCGAAAACATATGAATCAATAAATAGTTAATTAATGCATTCAAATGCGTACGAATCGCACGAATCAATACCTTTATTGAAGTGAAAAATGCGTAAAAAAGCCAACAAATTGTGATCAATAGGTTGGCACTTGTGATGCAAACGATAGACACCGGAAACGTTTAAATCAAGTCTTTTGCATAAATCGTATTTCTGTTGAAACAGCGGATCGTTGCGACTGATACCCAGTCTTAAAGGCACGAAATCATCGCAATTATCGTTGTATACGAAGCCGTTGTGGACGAAGAACTCGCCGTTAGATCGCGAGCCATAGTATATGAAGATCTGTAAACCAATGGTCAATAAATGTCAACATTTCATGTCATAACTCATGAAAATAATAATACAAATTTAGTTTTATATAACAATAACCTGTTCGCCAGTATTAAAGTCAGTCATCGCACGACAAATACCAGAGTCAGCGCTTAAGTCATAATCAGTTGTAAGCTTTTCATAAGTTTTTTGGTTAAGAGAGAGAAAAATGCATTAATTAATCACTAATTGTATCGCAAATTGCCTTAAAGAGCGCATAAATGAATGACAAAAACAAAACAAGTATATCTTAAATACCTTTCCGTGTTTATGGTTAGACATATCCCAGAGCGGAATGAGCGCAGTAGTCATAGACTGGCCATCGCTCGAGGGAATGGCGTTTTGTCGTGTCATGACTGTCGAAACCGCCCAACTATTGTGATACAAAAAACATAAATGTATAGCAATTGAGACAAATTTAGCCATAATAAAATAAATGAGTCAATCATTATATATATATATATATAATCATTATTTAAATGTAAGCCCGCATTCGAGTGACAAAAGCTTTTTTGTCAGTTTCACAGACTCCAGTTCCCACACAATAGTACTCAAAAAGTGTTTGCAAATACGCAAAAGTATTGATAACTTGTGTGTTTTGAAGTGAAAATATTTCTTTGCATA